GAAAAGCCCCAAGCTATTTCTTTGAGGAAAAGCTATGAGGAGTTGATAAGAAACTATTATGTTGACTGTGAACTCCTTTCAGTTATGAATTGAGTATTTTCTATTTGTTTGGTGTGTTTCAAATGAATCACATATGGTGGTATTTATAGAAATTTTCGAATCTGAGAATTTACTAGGAAATTGCTAGGAAAAGTAGGTAGAAATTTTAAATTCGATATTTTCTATCTAGTTCCTCTTAATTTCGTAGTAACAAAACTCATTCCTCTTAATTTCGTAGTAAGCAATTACTATGACTTTACGAGGAAACTGCTTTACTAGGAAATAGCTATGCCCGTGTTTTTTTCCTCGTAAAGTCCTAGTAATGTTACTACGACTTTACGAGGAAACTGTTTTCTCGTAAGTATACGAGAACCTTACGAGGAAACATGGTTTCCTCGTAAACTCGAAGTAAACTCGTAATAATTTTACGAGGAATTATTTTCCTAGTAAAGTTTCCTAGTAAATGCTTAGTTTTCTTGTAGTGAATTATTAATTATCACACATCATTTATGGACAAAGTCCTGGGATAATATATAAGTATATGAGTGTGAGTTAGACCCATTGCTAATATTAACCATTCTCATTTCGGACTAGTGGCGGAGCCAGCCCAATATGTTATGAGGGTCAATTTCATAATTAACATGAATTACATGGGACAACACAATCTAAATTTGTAGCATTTTCTTAGTTTATAATAGAAATACATGTAAAAAATTTTAATAAACAAAAATCACATGGGTCATTTGACCACCCTCCTTTCCACCTGCCTCCGCCACTGTTTCGGACCACCCATAGTGCTCCTGCTAATATTTTTGCTTATGACCAGAAAAATAACCTATGTTGCTTTTGACTAGTAAAATGTTTGACATTCAAGTTTTGGACTATCTAAAAATAATAAAGATTCCAAAATGTGACACCTCGAAAAGAAGATCTTTTAAATCCACAAACATAAGAATATATGACAACTGAATAATTTGTCTGTTTATTTTATTAGATCTCAGTTATATAGAAGAGTCCATGGGGTTGATATTCTGCATGTTGTTGGCATTCAAACGTTTTTTAAAAAAAGTGGTTCGATCTGTTTAGTAAAGATTTTTCTCTGCATGACTTCTTTCGTTCCTCCGCGTCGTTCTGTAGACGTTACCAAACAAAATGGACGTAACTATCCGTAGGACCGTAAGTAACCCTTGCTCCTATATCAAAAGATGACTTTGTTTTCTTTAAGAATCCAAACTATATTTGTTTTGCTTATATCGATTGTATTATGCCACGTATCAAGATCTGCTTGAATTTGCCAAGAAAACCAAATTATGTATATTCTTAACGCCAAATTATTTTTAAAATTGATACTTTAACAAATTAATAACTCTACAAATTAATAAAATATTATAGCCTCAAAATTGA